GAAAAAAAGCAAAAAAAAAAAAACTTGAAATGAGAACCCAAACAAATAAAGAAAAAAAAATATTACTTGCAAAAAAATAAAGTGAATTTACTCAAAAATTTATTAAGATAATCTATTCAAATTTTTTAAGCAAAAATGTTTAGAATTAAACGAAGAATATAATCATATAATTTTTATTTCTATTACTAAAATATTTAAGGCTATGGACAGCTTGGACACTTTGGACACTTGGACGTTTGGACGTTGGACATGTCCAAAAAAGCTTTGGACATGCCAAAACGTACAACACTGCCTATATGTAATTATTTTACATTTTTGGGCCCTTATTTGTAAATTCCCAAAAATTTTACTAACGCTAGCATTTATCGTTTTATTAGTTCAATTTTTTTTTGGGAGGGATGACGTTAACAATTCGAGTAATAAGGTAAGAGCACGTGATACACGTGATTGTTTTCTAAAAAGAGTAGCCTCCGAAAAATTTTAATGATAAAATTGGGATAGTTCAAGTGAACGATTTAACAAATAATGACAAGCTGGGAACACACTCACAAAGAGTTTCCAAAGGTTCCTACCTTGGAAGAAGTAGATAAGTCAGACGTGGAAGGTACGAAAGCCAGCTTTTATATCTCTTAAACTTTTAGGTAGGTAGCAAGTTTGCTCACCGATCCTGCAACATTATATTAAGGCTGTAATTAGTATTACACTTATAGTCCAAAACTGATATTCGTAGAATAACATAGACCTTTTAATTAGTTTAACCAAAGAGCACATTCAGGATAGTTTGTATATTGAAACAAACTGATTAATTATTAATCGCTTTATACATTTTATAATAGCATAGATGTTAAACAAATAACATTTAATTAATCCATTATAATTTATAATTTGCATAGCCGTGAGAGCAGCACGAGAACAAAACGTTCGAGAGTACTGGATTAAAGTAATGGAAATTCGATTAGTTCGAAATCAGCTAATAAAATGTTACAAAACCGAGGGAGTTAATCATTATCAGAATTGTAGAAAGTTGGCAGATTTATACGTGGAGCTGCTTCAAGAATACAATTCATCAAACAAAAAAAAGCGATAAAGTTTTGGTAGTTCTTATTAGAAACGTAAGGTAATATAGAGTTTTTACCACGGGAGGTGGTTTTATTTCTATTAATGGGATTGAATAATCGTGTACACACTCATTAACTTTTTGTAACTTTAATAATATTGTTAGATCAATATATATTCTTTTTGTTAATGGATGAAATATCAGCAAATAAACCTCAAGATATAAAAATAAAGTGGCTTAATAAATTATATTTTAAATGAATAAAACTCGAATGAAATTATTCGAATCTGAGAAACGTTCGATTCGAAAATTAATCGTGGATTTAAATTAATTATTATGCATATAAATTACCACATTATATATGATTTAAATTTTTTTATCAAGATAAAAAAAATTCATAAAAGATCTAGCTAATTAACATTATTATACCAACTTTGCAAATAATCGGTATTTGGTGCTCTAAGTTAAATTTTCAGCCTCAAGAAGCTTAATTCCAACCTCGAAATATTAACTCTTAAGTCTTACTACTATAAGAAACTTTTATAATACAAAATAATAAATATTGTTCAAGATGGATCAATCCGGTCCAGTCCGTCCTAGACCAGTCCATTAACGTTTTTGGCTCGGCTCTTTCTATTGGCTAGCTGAGAGATTCAAATGTTATCGAAATTAGCAATTCTTTTTTTAATAATTGTAATTGATATTTTTAACTATCTCAAGACCGAGGATTGAATAACCGTGAGACTAGTTAAAAGGCTGATCCAGGACCTGTTTATCCCCAAATATTGTTATAATTTTTTCATATTTTACTTATTTATTTTATTTTTTGTTATAGTTTATCGGTTCTTGTTTTTTTTTTTAGGGTTGTTAGTTCTTTCATTATATTTTTTTATTACAGAGAGGCTGTAGTAGTATTTTATTAATTTATAACCAGTTTATTTTTTATAAAATTCTAGTCACTAAATTTGTTTCTATTTAATATTCATATTTAGCAAACTACTATATGATTAAATATAGTAGAAAATATTTTTGGTTTTTGCTATAGGAATTTCCCTTAGAATGTTCACGGCTTGCCAATTTAATTATAAATTTTAAGCAATAATAAAAAAATTATCTAGTATGTCTGAAACCAAGCTGTTTAAACCTAACGCAAACGAGATTTATAATATATTTTCATAATTGTAAATTATTTCATAGAAAGACAACGCCAAACGCATACAATATTCATGCTTTCTTTTCATTAACCACTTGTCTAAATGCACGAATGACTTTAATCATTGGGTATAAACCTATTATTTCTTATGCTATACACAAATAACAAATATGTATTTAGCCAAATATGTGTTATAAAAAACTTGAGTTGTCGATATTTTCCTATTAAAATAGCACCACTTTGTAAGAATAACTAATAATAAATAAAATATATTAGACTAGTAATCTGGATTTAGCATATAGAAATAACTTAAGTATTATATATACATAACTTTTATCTTGTATTTTTGAAGCAGAATATATTTTTTTATTTGTTTTTAATTTTTTTTTCTTTAACTAATAGAGTTTTTACTTAATAAATTTTTTTTATTAGTTTGAAGGTATTACATAGCATATAGTTTTTATGCTTTTTATTATATATATATATATTTTTTTCTTTTGACAGTCATGTTATAAACTTTATTAAATTGTTAACTGTAGCTATAGCCAAGTTACATATGATTATATAATTTACTTAATTTTCTAAGTTTGATATTACTTAGCTGCTACTAGAGTATTCAGATATGATCTGTTATACTAGCCTTATGGCTAGAACAATTTTGTCTAACTATTTCAAAAGAAAATCTATCAATTTACATTTTCTTTTTTTATATTTTTTTTAACTACTTCCTCTACTAATACTTTTATCTAATCTTTTTTCTGTTCTTTTTTCTTTTTTTTTTTTGCAAGTAATATTTTTTTTTCTTTATTTGTTTGGGTTCTCATTTCAAGTTTTTTTTTTTTTGCTTTTTTTC